CCAACTAATCTATTATAAAAGGTTTGAATTATTAACCAATTTGGTATAGCATGGTGTGGACACTTTTTTAAGAGCTCTTTAAATCATTCTCATGCTTCATAAATAGATTCCCCTTCAAACTGATTAAAAGATGTAATATCATTTCTAAGCTTCGCAGTTTCTTATGGTGAAAAATATTTAGCAAAAAATTTTTGTGCTAAATCACCTCAACTTCTAATAGATCTAAGTGCTAATGAATTTAACCAAGCTTTAGCTTTATCACTTAATGAAAAGGGAAAAATTCTAAGCCTAACACCTAAGTCTTACACTCCATTATATTTAAAAGTAGCACATATTTCAAGAAAACTAGCATGATGTAAGTTAGGATCTTTAATATTGGATCTTTAGTTGGTGATCCCCCAAATTGATTATTTGATACTATTTGGATAATAGCAGGTTTAAGCTCAAATGAATTAGCTACTACAGTAGGTTTTTGAATACTACAATGAAGTTCATCTACAGTAGGGTTGGCATAATTCTTGAGTTATTTTATATTTTGATGAATTTCAGTATTTTGATTATTTTGGTTTGTTATTTCTATGATGTTTTTGGATTTTTTCAAGATTTATAATTCTTTTGGTTTTTCTGATTCTTCTAACAGTTCTTTCTAATTCAAAATAGTATATCACTAGTCGTTCAGACCTGAATTCGAATACACTAACATAAAATAAAATAAAATAAAATAAAACATACAAAATAAGATACAATATTTAAAGTTTAAATAAGACTTTATAAAAATAGAAATTTACTTAGTTTTCTTCCCTAACAATGGCGCCAAAAACTAGATCCCGACTTAATGCTTATGCACAATATAGCAATAGTTCTGATGGTATTTTTCACTTATATTTCCTTATTTTGCAAACAAAACCAAAAACTTGATCCTAAAGAAAAACAAGAATATAAGGATACTACACAAGTATATGTATCGTTATCAAATAATATAGGACTTTTTGATTAAGATTTTGATTAAGAGGATTAAGAGCTGAATATCGAACCCACATGGAAGATTATGCAATATGCACTTTTTAAAAAGTTTTTCTATTTTTAAAAAGATAATTACTTAAACTAAAAACAATTTTGCAGGAATTTAAAATTTAAATATTTTTGGTATTTTTATTTTAACAAATCGGTAACAACTTAAGAAGATAACTAATGTTTTTGTAGAAGAAAAATACTTAATATGAAAATATCTTTCTTCTTATCATGAATCAATAATAAGTATAGAAATTTTGTTGTTGAAGTATGCAAATTGTGTTGTGTCAAATTGGAGCAATAATATTCTTTACCCATACTAGAGATGCTATAAAGAACATTGACTAATTTTAAGTTTGAATAGTTCTGAAGACCGGCTAGGCAGGGAAGATACTAGCTCTCACTCTAAAGTTCCATCGATTCCCTCCACC